GATATTTTTGTAAATAGTCGAAACTTCAATTATGAAGAAATGTATCCTGAGTTAATACATAAATTGTGTTCATATGCAAATAAAGTAGGATAACTCGAAATCACCACCAGAGGGCCTGAAGCAGTTAAAGAATGGATAAGGACAGCATGGTGAGAAGAATTCTTCGTGTTTTTAATGTAAAGTGTCAGAACCTACAATAGAAGGCTGACACTTGATCGTTTTTAACATTGTAACCTCTTTTTACTTGTTTAGCTGTGTTTTTTTAAGAAGTTTTTCTTCAAAACAAATACCATGTTAACTGTTACTTCTGGTGATGTATAAAAAAAGGATTGTGATAGACTCGAAAATTTGATATTTTTGTAAATAGTCGAAACTTCAATTATGAAGAAATGTATCCTGAGTTAATACATAAATTGAATTATGTCTGTGAAGATTTGATGTTCTTTTCCAGTACTTAACAATATAATGCCATTAGATGTTACCATTTGGTATTATAATACATTTCAGTAGTATGTTATGTTCATAACGTTTTTGATAACAGTATAGAAATAATTTTTTCACTAACTCAGACAGAAATCTCAGTACTACTCTAGTATTTGATTTACTAATCATACAAAAATTTTAAAAAATTTTATTTAGTTTTAATTTTTACTTTTGAAAATTCATACAGAAATGTTCATTTTAAATTTGTCACTTTGTTGATGGAGTGTTCTTGTAGATCACTTTTTAATTTCATGTTTGAGAATCTGTACAGAAATGTTTGATTTAAATATTTATGTCCTCTGCCAAACACTTAATTTATTCTGTATACATTGTGTTCAATGAAATGACTGTATATGGAAGAAATATAAAGACCTAAATGGGGTCAAAAAAATTTGTGTGATTAATAAATTAAGTGCTAGAGTAGATACTGAGGATCTATGTGTTATTGACTATTATTCCAGCTTTATGAGTTTTATAATTTTTCACTTCTTCAGAATATATTATTTTCTTTTTTTTAACAATAAGTCATAATTAAAATCTGCAAGGCATAAGAATAAATTCACTGGGCCAAGTATATTTTATTGAAATTAAAGTCTTTGCAGATGACTGAAAGATGAATATTCATTCTATCGATGTCTTTTGAACTGACTAACTTGTAAGATCAAAAAATCTTAGCCAGAGTTAGTTCTTACGCTAATATATTGTTAATTTTATCATTATTATTTTTTTATTTGATCAAAGTTTTTAATTTATTTTATTATTATGTTAATATATTATTTGTATAATGTTTATATCGTTTTTACATTAAACAAGTTTAATATTAATATAATAATATATATATTATTAATAATATTAATAATTATAATAATATTAATTATATATATTATTAACAATATTATATACTGTTACACTTGAAAACTTTATTATTTCATTTGCTTATGTTTTTGTGAGGTTAAAAAGCATAGTATTATCAGCTGACATTAGTGTAAGACATTTATTAGTATTTTGTTTAATATGAAAATGCTTTTATTAATTATAAAATAAGATAATTTAAATGTCATTATTTAAATTAATGGAATTATTTATTTTAAAGATGTAATAAAAATTACTTAATGTTTGTTTCTCAGATGATATACATCAAGATATTAGAAATACATATTATGAACACTCACAATCATTTAAATTGGAACAAAAGTCTAATCAAATCAAGCATCCTCCAAACAGGTAAACTTAATTTTAAAAAGTATTGTAATTGTAATTAATAAATAATTTTTAATATTTTATGAAATTATCAGATCTAGATATACAATTGAAATCAGTTAAAATGAACACAGAGATCGAGTAAATTTGCTCCTTATACCATTACTTGCTATATCAATTTTGAAATATTTAATCTGTATCACTAGCAGTGGATATAGCAAGTAATGGTTAATATGTAACTCATACTTTTGTCAAAACTTCTTTATTTGACTTAATACAATAAAATTTAAAATACAACAAAAAAACTTTCTAAATTGTTTACTGCCATTTGAATTAGGTTATTTATTCCTTTTCTGAAAAATGCCATCTGAGATTTTAATACAGTATTTTACTATATATAATTATTAATATATCTGTTTTTAAAATGGTTGAATTATCCATTGCTATAAACAAAATCTTGATGTCCAAACTCTTTAATAGACTTTTCTACCTGTACATTTACTGTATTTTTGCAGATTGACCAGCATGCTGCATATGACTTGGGTTGACCAGCATGCCAGAAACTTTGGGTTACCAGCATGCTGGTTAAACTGTGACTAAAAAATAAAATTAATCAGATCTAACAAAACTAGTTGTTAAATAAATGTTAAAGAAAACATTTTTCTGAGTACAGTAAAATAATAACATTGTAAATTGACTGACTTATAACCAGGAAGAGAGTTTTCATTTACAGGTTAATAAAACAATTAGCAGCTTATTGATGTTAGTAGTACTACTTAGTCATTGTGGGTTTCACTGACAATCTGCAGCAAAAGTAATAAAGTTTTACCAGTACTATCCTGATGGTGAAAGACAACACTTTCCTCTCAGATTTCACACAAAGCAAATGTTAATGGTATAAGTTGAGATAATTTACAAAGAGTTTCTGAAATTTGATATGTTTATTTTGCATTTTTGGATCAAATAAAATGAACATAAAAAGCATTATTGGCATCATAATGAGTATTAATACACAATCAACCATCAACCATAATAATCAGGCAGATTACAAAGCAACAAACATTTGGAAATTATATGATAAGGCATTACGTGCCCTATGACCCCAGGTGGTGCCTTGGATGGTTATATATAAAAGTTTAAAAGTGTGTGAAGAAGAGGAGTCGCTCAGAGGTCCAGGTGGTGTAACTGGTCAGTGCACCACATGGTAAGTGGAGGTTTTGACTTTTGCTCTGGGCTGATTCTTTTCTTCCAGACTACACTAAATTTTAAATTTAAAATCTAAAATCATAGTTACTACTTTCATCAGTAGATGGCACCTAAGGCCTTATCATATAATTTCCAAATTTAATATATTTTGCTTGTAATCTGCCAGATTATTATGGTTTATGGTTGGTTGTGTATTAATTTATATTTATCGGGTTAATGTTATGTTGTGTTGTTGTTATGATGAGTATTTTACATCATTAAAAAGAATACTTAATGCAGATATTAAATGTATAATTGTAGTTTTTTATGTAATGATGACAGTTTCACAATTTTAGAATAAAAACTGGTGTATATGAGAATCCATGTGACATAATTCATTTCAATTTTTAACATGCTCTGGATAGCGATGTATAACCTCACATAAACCAGCATGCTTGCATTTCCCAGGATAAATCAGCATGCTTGTTTTTACCATGCAGAATAATCTGATTTTATGGTTTCCTTTGAATAGACGACATGCTGGCCAATCCATGTAAATATGATAATATTTAATTTAATTTTACTTTATTTTATTGGCAGAATAAACTCAGATCTTTAAGGTTTATACACCTCAAACTTGTATTATATCTGTAGTATAAATAAACAATAATTGAATTAATGTGTCTTTATATATTATATTGTGGTGATGAAACATAATGCATAGAGGCACATTAGTTTAGTTATTAATAATACTACGAGCACAGATATAATATAAGTTTGATAGAAGCATACTATATTGCCTGTATAGTTCACAATGCGAACAATTGTGATGGGGAACTTGATTAAACTAATTATACAAAAAAAATACCCATAACAACAATTATAAGGACAATACAACCTTGATTCACATGTAGTATTTACAGTTTATAACTTGTTTACTGATAAAATACAGTAGAGTGTCGTTTATCCGAATCAATTGGGGACTGGGGTTGTTCGTATAACTTATTTTTCAAATAACCAATTATGTACGAAAAAATATATTAATTTATCCCGTGTTGAAATTTTTCTCCATTGCATGTCGCTTTGCACTGAATTTTCGTCGATGTTAAGCCTAACGAAGACTATTGTATCGTTAAAAATTATTTTTTTATTTTGTACAAACAAAATAAATATATTGAAAAATATAAAAACAATAAAAAATACTTCAGATGTTAATTTAGTATTAAAAACGTAAAATATTTGAGTAGTTCGAGAAATAGCCGAAGATTGCAGCGCCACAGCACTAGCGAAAATTTAAATTTGCCGACTGGAATGCTTTCGGATAACGGACATTTCGGATAACCAACTTTCAGATAAACGACGCTCTACTGTAATTCCATTTTTATATTAATATATAACGTCTCTTTAATCCAAAAAGCTTGTTTGGTAGACTGTCTCACAGCATTTCTGGTTTATATATAGAAATTGAATAAACAGCAACCATATTACATTAAGAAATAATTCCAACAGTATCAGATGGAAATGGATTTACAGCCTACTTCATTCTTTCACTTTGATGTACTCTCACACTCCTGCACATTGACTCCTTGTTCACAGTTTGAAATGTCACCTCACAAGGGGACACATCCAAAAAGAGGGCTCATGAATGCCAGAAAAGATCTTAAATATTCCCCATCAGAGGTTAGGAGGAGTGAGCAGCTCCCCCTAATGAGAGCCAATTCATAAAATAAAATAAAAACAAAAATGATCAAAAAGTGGTGCAATAGCACCACACCTGACATGCCGAAATAAACCATATAGAGATTATGTGTAATACTCATGTCTTCTTTGGGTAGGCGCCATAATAAATAAATAAATATATATATAGTATTGTTAGATGGCACTAGAGGTACTGTGCATAGTACACCTCAGTTCTCTCTACAGAAGGTACTGAACAGGGTAATTTTAATTTGAATCACCCTACATATAACTTAAAAATCTGATTTTGTGCTGCCAATAATGTAAAATTAAATTAAATTAAATATAAGTATAAAATTACATAAGTTCTCACTAACCAAAAAAATTAATCCAACAGTTATCAAAATTAACATCTTTCTATCCTTTTTGACCTACTTAGAAGATCTTCAAGAAGTGTTAATATAAGTAAAAACATTTATTAAAGAATTTGGCCATCAAGATTTTGTTTGGAGCAATGTATGGTTCAACCATTTTAAAAACTGATATATTATAAATATAATAAAATATTGTATTAAAATTTCAGATGGCATTTTCAAGAAAAGGAGGAAATGACATATTTCAAATGGCAGTAAACAATTTAGAAATGTTTATATTTTAAAATTTTATTGTAATATTATCTAAAATCATCTAATATTAAATCTGTTACCTTCCTGAAACAAAATAACAAGATTTAATTTGATTTAATAAAATACAGAAAATATAAATATAGAGAAGATACAAAAAATCTTTGAACATCCATCTTTACAATCACCAGTGACACCCAATTATCATCTACAGAGACGATCCTTTTATGGAGGCTATATTTCTGCAATAATGCAAATTGACTAAATGTCCTCTGGTGATATTGCTAAAAACAAATGAACTATTTGCTTTTTAGTAATCTGTATTTTTATATTTTATTAAATATAGATACCATTAGAGAACTTGAAATGAATTTAATTTGATCTTCTCATTGTGTTATTGATTTGTCTTCAAGATTTTTGTGAGTGCATGTTTTGTGTCCTTGCCATAACAAATAGAGAGCAATGAAATCAAATGATGAATAAATGTGAAATTTTGTTTTAGATTTGAAAAGATGGCTAAATATATTAAATATTATAAAAATGTTTTGGAGGTGATATTGTAACTTGAAAAATAGTTTGCAAATGGTTTGAATAACTTTGTGGTGAATTTGAATAATAACAAACAACAACTGTGTTGTCTAATGACTTTGACAATGAACAAGTATTTTTCAAAAAAAATAAAATTATTCAAGCAAACAGAAAATTAACAATTTAAGAAATATCCTGTTGAGAATTACAATAGACCCCCTATAACACTGTTGTAATTCCGTATTATATGAATTCCATGCTGTACGAGTCACTTAGATTTTACAAGTACATGTGCTGGGCTATGAACGGCTCACATATTTGTAAAATCTAAGTGACTTGTACAGCATGGAATTCATATAATACAGAATTATCAACAGTGTTATAGGGGGGGTCTACTGTAGTCCATAGATGTAAGAGAGTAAATTTCATTAACTTATAAAAGTACCATTTTATCTAGGGCAGTGGTTCCCAATTAGTTTTTCCTGCATACCACTTCAAGAAAGAGCTCAAACTCGCGTACCCCTTATAGCAGAAATTCATATTAATTTATACTAATATTATAAATTCGAAGGTAATTCTGTCTGTCTGTCACCTTTCACGTCTAAACCGCTGAACAGGTTTTAATAAAATTTGGCACAGAGATAGATTACATGTTGGAGATGGACGGATGCTACATTTTAATGCAAGAAAATATCTTATTCCCACGAGAAAATTCGATATAATGAGAGCGAAGCTGTGGGTAGACAGCTAGTGATAAATAGAATAAGTTTTTTTTTTACATTTATTACCTTTAAAATACAGTTCTAATAATAATGAAAATAACATAAGGTTATTTAATTTTAATGTGACAAATGTGCACGATTTTCTTTGCACAACTTTGTAAAATCTGGTTGCTTTTTGATCAGCTTCAGTCTCAAGTCATCTTCGAGTTGAAGTCGGTGACGATGTTTAGTTTTCATGTTTGTCATGGTCGAAAATCCACTCTCGCAGAGGTATGTTGTGCAAAATGGT